TTTTTTAAATATATTAAAAAATTCAATTTCCATTATATGAACAAATCTCAAAAATTGCCCTTTCATTTTGTCAAATATCTTTTCTGATTATTAATATGAACACATATCATTTCCTCAACAATTTTTTGTTAACATAGAAGATTATGCTATCTTTTGAAATTGAATTATCTTTCCAATTAAATACTCTACTTATTGGTGTTAATGTGTTATCCTTCAAAAACATTGTTGGATTTTGTTTGCTATCATTTTATTGGAATTTTTGCATCTATATTTATGCTACAGGTCAGTTGTATTACTTGTTTTTGGTAGGATCTTGATGTGTTTTAATACTGAATTTATATTATATTCATATAATCAAAGTAATCAGCCTTTACTTCTGATATATAATATTTTAAATTAAATTTGGATCTTTTTAGGCTACCTAAGATATGCTATGGTTTTTGTTTGGGATTTACTTTTCCTTTACAAATAAAGTTGTTTTAGAATAGCTTTATATTCTCAGAAAGGTTATGAAGTATAGGGAGACAACTTGTCTACAGAGCATGAAGTTTCCCCCGTTATTAACAATTTATGCTAGCATGGTATATTTGCTATAATTAATGAATCAAGTTGACACATTATTACATTATTTTGATTCCTTATTTCCCTTTCTTTAGTTTTATCCTAGTATTATTTTTCTGTTCTAGAATACCATTTAGGATGTAACATTATATTTAGTTAGGTCTCCTTAGATTCCTTTCAATGGTAACATCACTCTTTATTTTTGATGACCTTAACAGTTTTGAAGCATATTGTTCAGTTATTTTGTAAGATGCCCTCACATGGCATACTCCTCATGTGTTCTCCATGATCGTACTGTATTTATGGATTTTTAAGAAGAAGACCACAGGGACAAAGGGCCATTTCATCATCTCATATGAAAGCCAACTTCAATTGCCATGGTAATAGTGACATTATTGATGCTGACCTTGTGAGGTTTTTCTTTTTCTTTTTTTCCATTTCAATGCAGTAGTCTTTGGGGCAGCCACTGTAAAAGAGACTTAGGTAGTGGAGAGTTATGCTTCCCTCTAGATGTGGCATATCTACAAACATTATCTGGAACTAATTTTTGAAAAAATTTTATATTTTAAAATGTGATAAGTGGCAGATTTTATATAACCAGTTTAAAGATTTTATTATTTATGACTTATTTTCTGTCTACATGAGCTATCAATTCTGTAAATAGAAAACTCAAGTATATACTATAGTTTCTCTTTTTGTCAAGTTCTTAAATCTGCATTAGCTTTTGCTTTACATACCTAACTCACTTTATTCATACAATTTTATTGTTTTGTTTTGTTTTGAGACAGAGTCTCTCTGTGTAGCTCCAGTTGACCTTGAACTCACTATGTAGCCCAGGTTGGGCTTGAACTCATGACAGTTCTCCCGCCTCAGCCTCCTGAGTGCTGGGATTACAGGCATGTATCACCATGACCAGCCACAATTTTATGATTGCTGTATCATCTTCATAAATTTGGCTTTTAATCACCACCTAGTATTTTAGTCTTGCTTGGTAATTTCAACTTTAAACTGCCTCCAGTTGTTACTCTGCTTAAATTTCATTTGCATTGTTCTATTGTAATTTATCACTTCAACTTTTTTCAGTGTATTTTAGTGACTCTTGTGAACAACACTTTAGATTTTAAAAAGAATGCAATCTGGCAATCTCTGTCTTAATGGTAGAACTAAATGCTTTTATACTTAGTTAGATAGCTTATGTGATTGATTTTATTTAATCTAATTTTTATTACTTATATTGTTTCTTTGTATTTCCTCCACTTGTGTTGACTTTATCTAGTGTCTATCCATTGTGTCTTTCCATGTTAATGTAGAAGTCCTAAACTTTTCACCCCATCCTGGGTTACCCCATTCTCTTTCCCTTTACTATGTTCAAAATTAGACATATATTTCTCTCTATTTTTATATATATTTGGTACAGGGTCTCACTATGCAGCTTGGATTCATAGTGATCCTCCTGCTTGCAGCCTCTCCAGTGCTAGGATTATAGGTGTGCAACACCAAGCCTGGTCTTGGTGGCTGGCTCAGTGTACCCAGGGGCAGAGCCAGCATGGCATGTGGTGCCAGGGATAGAACCCTGGTCCCTATGTTTGCCTAAGTAGGTGCATAGTCTTCTGAGCTATCTTGCCGGCCTTCCCTCATATTTTCATATTAGTAATTCATAGTCAACTAATTCAGCTGTACTAATTAGCTCAGGCATACTTAATAAATTTTATTTATTTTTATTTATTTTTTATTGTTTAATTTTTTTTTTTTTTTTGCTCCGAATGCCTTCAGGGCAGGTTTGGCTGGCTTGAGTTGTGGGGATCGAACCCCAGCAACCTGAGCTGATTGCTTTCTTGAAGAGCCACTTAAAGAACTGAGCTAAGGGGCAGGGCCACTTATAAGGATTTTTTTTTTCTCCGAATGCCTTCAGGGCAGGTTTGGCTGGCTTGAGTTGTGGGGATGGAACCACAGCAACCTGAGCCTGACTGCTTTGTTGAAGCAGCCACTTAAAGAACTGAGCTAAGGGGCAGGCCCCTCAATAAATTTAAACAAGGGAAAAACTATGATTTTTGGCATTACTTATTAAAACATGGCAACTCTCCAATTTCCTTCTTGTTTTGTCTCTTGTCTGATAGAAGAATATTTTTTAAGAGCTATCAGAAAATATGGATGCTATGAAGATCCTTAGGAGATGAATTAATTACCATAATTGTAGTTTATTCTTTTCTTGGAGCAATAAAATAGTTACTAATGTTTGATTGTACCATAACGTTTCAAAGAACTGAATTATTTCCCATAAAATTTAAAATGCACAGCTAGTATAAAAAATAATATTGTTTGGCAGGCATTTTGCTATATATTTTACTATACTTCTAACCATTAGTTCAATACACATTAAAATTTTCTATATGTGTTATGCTAAATGCTGTAGGGAATTATTAAATGATGTTCTTTAGAGATTAGTACTTATAGATAAGAAGTGTAGTGATTCTCCTTCCTTTTTAGGTAGAGGTAAACCTTAAACAGAAGCACAGAGATAGGATATATAAGGTTTTATTTGATCATGACATTACTTGTGTGAATAGGGATTAGTGAAACATATAGGAATAGGAAGGTAAAATTTTTTAATATATTATGTTAAACTTATTTAGTAAGTAATATTCAGTAGTTTCAGGAGATTTATGAGACGAGAGATTATCAAACTACTTAGGAAGATTTACCCAAATGCCACTATGTGAGTAAGTTACAGTAGAGAGTGTTGTAACTCAAAAACAAGGTAGGCTCAAAAGTTTAAAAAGCGCTTTATTTTAGCTGGTACCCAGTGGCAACACCTGGCACAAAGTGCCTAAGTGCGCACTGAAGCGGGGAGCATGGGGTTTATAAAGCTTAAAACTGCAAAGCAGGCAGGGTACAACTTAGGGAGTTCAGGAAGACATGGCAGCTGCTGAGACTAGATATGGTTAGGGGTCTGGAGAAGTTCTTGGAATTCAAGGGTGGGGCGAAAGCTTACAGCAACAGCTTGCAGAAACAGAGGTTTTGTGAGATAGGCACATTTTACAGCAGCTGACATGGTTCACTAAGACGGCGCATACCGAACAGGACGGCGGCGCTTTGGTCAGGTTATAACAGAGAGATTACAGGAAGGTATTTCTTTTGACCTTAGACTAGAACAAACCAGCAAGGTTGACAATGAGAATGGGATATGGTGGTGGATTTGAGAAAGACTGAATAGATGGAAATAACAGAACATGGCAGCTATTTGGATATGGAAACAAAGAGAAGAGAAGCCTAAGAAAGCAACCTATGCGTGGTACAGATATTACCTTTTCAACAGAAATAGGATATGAGAAAAAGGATCAGGTTTTCTAGAGAGAAAAATAAATTAGGCTTGGGAACATCCATGGACACTATCGGCGGCTGATCAATCCCCCAATTACCTAGGCAAGGTATGATGAAGGATAAAAGAGACAGAGGCAATAATTTAGAAAGCAAGGGGTCCAGAGCATCAGCGCTTTTATCAGGCTAGGACCAAGAATCTCAGGACTCTTCCTTATCTCGCTTCTTGGTGGGATAAGGTTTCCAAAATGTGGCAATATTTGTTCCTCGTCTTTCCACCCTAGAAAAGCACAGGGACAGCCGTTTCTTCTAGCAGCCAGGACGACACACAGGTGAGAGTCCACCAACTCTCTGGAATGGGAGTGAAGCTGCCGCGTTTCCTCTTCTCCCACCTTTGTGTGGCAGCAGGGACGGAAACCAAGGCCTTTGTAAAGAGCTGCACAGGCCAATCCATTTTTATTTATTTTTTGGAGTCAGGTCGCTAATTTGTTCAAGCTGGGTTCAAATTGTCTTCCTGCCTCATCCCGAGAGAGGGCTAGGATTAGAGCGGTGGCATCAGGGCTTTTTGTATTGTAGTTTTGACTGAGTCTGTTCTTAGTTTTATAGGGGGACCTGGCCAAGGTCACGTTAGCCCTCACCGCTCCTATAGCGTTTTCTAGGACACGCGGGGGTGGAGACCGGCGGACGACAAAACAATTGTGACTTTCACTCCAGGGACCAACGCTTTGATCGCTGCGCCTGCTGCGAGGGCTCCCGACAAGGCCCCACCCTCAACTTCCGGGAAGGTAGCCCCACCCCTCGGCTTCCGGACGGGGGCGTGGGCAGAACCGGGGCTCGAATGATGGGCGGGTCCCGTTCCCGAGCTCCTTCTTGGATATAGCCAGTCAGAGGTGCCTGGTGGCCCGTTTGTGGGAGGTTTATTCTCTGGTTCCTCTCTGCCTACGTTTTGCCATGGGGCTAGAAATTGACTTTGGGGAACCCAACTCCCACGTGCCCGTGGAAGGTGGTGCCTGCGCGAGCTCCCTGGTGTCTGGGCTTCCGCCCGGCTTCCGCCAGGCTTCCTCCCTCAGCGCCTCCACCACAGCGGCTGCGGCGGACTCCTCGCCCGCCCGGCTCCGGTCATGTACGACCGGGCACCCCGCTGGCTCCCAGTGGCTGTGGGCGGCGGCACCGAGGAGCATGTCGGCCCTGGCTCCTACCAGGTCCAGGTCCGGAAGCGGCGGGTGGCCGGTAAGGTGCAGGAGGGGATTTTCCTGTGAAAGGCGCGGCACCTGTGGCCTGTGGCTTCTGTGTGGAGTCAAGCGTGTAACAAAATCGATGTCCCATTTCCCACACTGTTGGAAGTGAGCAGGAAAGTGAGGAGGTCTGGGTTCTGATTCCCCAGCGCTGTGTAGTTGTTCCTCCTGCAGCGCTTTGTAACACCCTGTGCCTCACACACCATTGTTTCCCTGGAGAACATTGATTGACTAAGGAGTTTCATATTTCCATTTCGCTGTGTCGTTACGTGATAGGGTTTTCTATCGCCCCCACCCAACACTTAACTAACCATTCCCTTCTTCAGACATCCCGAGAATTGTTTTTCCTCTATTCTGTAAAAAAAGTCTTCAGAGGTGGATGAGGATATATAATTTAGATACTTGCTTTCTTTATTTGTTTGCAGTTAATGAATTAGAGCAAACTTTTATTATCTCCAATGTGCTTCCTACTTTTTCTATTCTGGTAATGTTTATAGTTTTTCCCCCTTTGTTAAACTGTTTTTCCTACAACGGCAATTATATATTTTTAAACAGATACCAGGATAAACTATTCTGTTGACCAAATTAGATTTCTGAATAAAGTTTGTCGTCAGTCAGTGTTTTAAATTTTAAATTTTACTGCTTTTCGCCATCTGATCTCATTTTTGGAGCTTACATGTCTATATTTTAATACACTTGACCTATGTCATTGTCCACCTTGCTGGCCACCAGTAACCACCTAAAACACCTGTAATGTTTCATGACCCTTATTTTGGTACATCTGACCACTTTTTTAGGAACACTTCTGGCAGCATCTCCAACAGCATCATTGTTTCTTGATTCTTTTTTACTCTTCATTGAAAGAGTAACTGATTTATGGTTAGATGCTGATTCAGGGAATCATTTTCACCCTCTTACTAGTGCTTTAAATGTTTTCATTTTTTTCTGAATACCTTTTAAGTGTGTACATATTGTATTTGCCATGTTCATTGCTTTTCTTGTATGTTATCGTTCATATCTGTATTCTCAACTACTTTTCATTTTCTGATTTTTATTGCTCCCAGATGAAAATCATCAGAAATTGTCAAATTTCTGGACATTTTTTGCACACTTTTAACTGAGCATCTGTAATAGCACGTGAAACTCTTAACTTCTAAGTGTCTGAACTCTTTATTTTATCACTTAATAATGGCCCCTTAAATTCAAAGTCAGTGTATTTATTCTAGCCTCCTCTATCTGACTATTCCTGTTGGTCACTAAGGCCTATTGATTCTGCTTTGTTTTGTTTGAGACAGGGTTTGGCAGTCCAGGCTGGCCTTGAACTTGAGGCAGTCCTCCTGCCTCAGTCTCCCAACTGCTCGGATTACCAGTTGTGTCACTACACCTGGCTTTATTTATTTTTATTTTTTCATAATCTTTCTGAAAGTGATTCTTTCCACTTAACTGCATCTGGCTTAGTTCAAGTCTTTAATACCTCTATTTTGAATAAAACCAATAATATTTTATTTCAGTCTCAAATCATCTTCTATCATGTGGTTAGAGTGATCTTAAATATAATTATCTTATTTGTAAAAACAACATCAACCACCAATGTGAGGAAACTGTCCAGAAGAGCACTTCAAAAGAATGTAAAAGGAAGGCGTCTGGGATCAACAGTTCCTAGGACTCTGGAGCGCATATTTAAAATTAGAGCAGAGTCTAAGAGGCAAGGGCTGAAGAGAATCAACAAGTTATTATCAGAGATATTTTCTCTGGCTATTGTGTTTCCCCTGCTCCAATAAGACTGTTTAAACTGTGGATGTGTGTCATATAGCAAACTATCCCTTTGCTTCAATATTGTTAGTGTTTTTCTTCTGCTTCTTTGTTTTGTCCTTGAATTGTGAGTAAATAGCCAGGAGGCTATTTAGCTCTGGGCTGTTCTTCTTGAGGTTTTTTTCCCCCTGCTGATGGGTCTAATGAAATAGTCCCTCTGGGCCTTGCCAGGGTCTGACAGAACTTGGTTACACACTATAGCACACTCCCTCAAAAGCCAAACAAAAACACCAAAAACCCCTTTGTGACACCAGGATTAAAAATCTGAAATCCTCCTTAACATAGATGAGGTTATGTTTTCATCTCTGACATGGTGTCTCAGTCAACCTGATCTTTCCAGGCACACCTACCCCACCCTCTTCCTCCTACATTTCAGCAATTTTAACTTTGCAGTTTTTGTGCTATAAGTTCATACTCTCTTCTGTACTTTCATACTTGCTAGTACATTTTGCCCAGTAGGCTCTTGTTTTCATTTTGTACCTAATTCCTATTTATTCTTTGTGACTCAGGCAAAGTGTTTTCTTACTTAGTATGTTACCTTTTTGAGTTCACAATGATGCTTGTTGTAGTCCCTTCATTCTGTATATAATTATTAACATATCTGGAAGCCCCATTACCTGTGAACTTGAGGTAATAATAGCCATGCTCTTTAGTCAGATTTTGCCCAATACCATAACACAAAAATGCTCAATGAAAAAAATTGAATAAAATTAAAATGATGAACCACGTATAAAAAAATTAAAAAGTCTTAGAGGTCAGTAAATAAGATGTGGACAAGCCCTCTTTATATTGTGTCAAAGAACCATACTTCAGTGACCAATGAAAGAAACTTTTAAATTTCATGCTCTGAAACTCAGCAGATGAATATTTTCAGTGATACTCAAGGATAACATGCTGATAATTGATGGAAGGAACAAGTGAATCTTTAGTACCTTCTCTGCCACATTTCCCTGGGTAGATAATTTAAAAGCATCTACATCTTTTTCCTAAGTGCATATATTCTACCTTACCTGTTTTTAAGACACACTGGAATATACACATTTATTTCAATTAGGGACCAGGTAGATTTTACAGAGTATGATGTGGGAAGAGTACGTGATGGGACTTTATACAACTTACTTTTACATTGACTTTTATAAGAGGAGAGGATGTTAACACATTGCATATATGTGTTTATTCCCTACCTCTTTTCCTCTCCTAACTACCCTTCTGCTCTTAACATTGTCCTTCAGTTTTTTATCTTTATATTTTCCTTATGAATCTTTTTTTTTTAAACTTTAATTTGAAAACTTCATTACTTTGATTTTTGGCTATTCACTTGTTGAGGATCCCTCATCCATGACTTGCAATCTGAAAGGGACAGGACTGAGCGGCTCTACTTTGTAAGTGGGAGAAGTAGATGATGGAGACTTAGATTCCAGATTAGTCAGAACTGCGTCCATTTTTCTAACAGTTGCTTGATAATATAAGTGCTGTGACAGAAATGCCTAAACTTACTGTTTTTTTTTTTTTTTTTTTTTGGTGGAACCGGGGATTGAACTCAGGCCCTTGTGCTTGCCAGGGAAGCGCTTATTCCACTGAACCATCTCTCTGGCCCCTGTAACAGTTGCTTGAGAAGCTAGCACAAATTATTAAAGTAAATTTTCCCCAGAGAAAACGAGCCTAGTAGAATGTAGTGAAAACCCATTCCTTTCAATAATGTGACTGCTTTTGCAATTATTATGCTAAGGAGTATATATTTTATTGCTATTTAAATTCATTTGCATAACAAATATCACCCACATTAGCTGCCTATTAAATTTTCTATCTTAGTTCTATATTAACTAAATTGAATGACATCATCTAAATATTTTCATTCCCAGAATTGTTCTTTGATGGGAGAGCTTTATTTGGGGGAACACTGAGGTCAGTGGTCCTCTTCTTGGGACTGTGTATTTTTGCCAATAATGACTTTATCTCATTACCCAGTCAGTGCATAGGTAGGCCATCTGAGAAAATGTATTTTTTTTTCTTTATTTAAATTTAAGTAATACGTGTGATTGCTGTATAGGTCAATGTCCTAGAGATGAATACATGTTCAAAGACCTAGTTATTTCTTGTGTGAGCATGTCTTTTATTCTGTGGCTGTTGTGTTTATTATAGACCTTGTCCTTTAGTCATATACTCCCCACCTTGTGTCTCAGAATGGCATGACTTTTATTGCTTCTTGCCAGTTTGATTTATCTTTTGCAGTTGGTGCCTCAAACTCAATATATTCCAATTAAACTCATTTTTTTTCTCTCAAAGCTTTTCCTGTCCTATATTCTTAAATTTCTTCTATCAGCTTGATTTATCATTTGTAGTCAGTACTTTTATATGTCAGCTTATATGGCTCAAATCACAACTCAACAATCCTGCTTTCCCAGAGCTGCCTTTATATTTGATACCTTAATTACTGGCAGAACTGTAGTGTAATTGCTTATTTGGTTGATTTCCCCACTATTTGAAGCCCAGCTTTTATCTTATTGAGGATTGTACCCTCATTGTCAAATATATGCATATCATGTATTTAATGGAACATTCAGTATTGTTGAATGAATGACTAGATTTATAGTTTAGAATATGTTATTAATTCTGTAATTATTGCTTATGGAGTATTCCACTCTGGTAAAGTGACCCACCATCCTGGTTTGACTGGGACTATCTTAGTTTTAGTGCCAAAAGCTCATCTCTCAGGCAGACTGGGACAGTTGGTAACATTAAATGTATACTATAGGTACAAGCTATAAATAAAACAAAAAGTCTTCTCCTTGTGGAGTTTATAATAAATATTTAAATTTTCTTGTGATTTTATTTATGTTCAAAATTTCATATGTAGTTTCATCTTATTGATAGAAGTGTATTTTAGTGAAAATTTTATTAATTCTGGCTTTCTTGATTTCTTTGTTACCTACCTCTATCTCAGATCTCATATATTTTACCAGCAATAATATGTGGACTGTATGGGGCTGTTTTGTGTTTTTCCAATTTTTAAAATGAATTTCAATATTTTGCAATTAATTTTACACTTTAGGGGGTACTTCAGCTTGGGGGTTTGTCATAATTTGATGACAGTTGCCTCAGAACTATTTTAAACTTAGTTTCTTAGTCATCATTTCAATCACTGTGTCTCATGATTGTAGTATGCATATTAACTTAAGAGTATACCTTCAATTTTGAGTTGATAATATTTATAGAGAAAATTACATGATATATAAATGCAGAGTTTAAAAAGTGAATAATCAAGTCAAGAAATAAGACATTGCCAAAATTTCCTTTTCAAGCAAAATCATTTCTGTATAAGCACTGTCCTGATTTTTTATGGTAATCACATGAGAGAAATTGGCCTGTAGTTCTCTTTTTTAGTTGGATCTTCCTTTGGTTTTGGAATCAGAGTAATGCTTGCCTCCAGGAATGATTTGGGAAAATTGCTTCCCCTAGGAGTTTTTTTCTTTTTTCAACAGGTAAATTGTATAATTTGCTCACCTCTTTTGTGTTACAATACCTAACACAACACACATAAATAACTCTTGATTTCATTTGTATTTGTATTGTTTTCTTATGCATTTAGTAGAGGGGATACAGGGTCCACAGGGTCTCACTACACAAATCAGACTTGTAGTGATCCTCTTGTTTTCAGTTTCCCAGGGCACTGGGATTACAGGCACATGCCACCATGCACAGTCTCAATGGCTGTCTGAGCATGTCCTGGGGGAAGGTGCAGGACCAGCACCAATTGCAGGAGATCAAAACCTGGCTGCTGCGCTCTTCCTAAGCAGGCGTGTTAGTCTGCTGAGCTTTCAGGCCAGCCCCTCATTTGTATTTTAATACATGAGGACTCAAAAGAAAGTTGTAAGTAGCTTATCTTTTACTATTAGTTAAGAGTAGCAAGATTTTTACTTTACTAATTATCATCATAAATTCTTCACTAATATGTATTATCCTTTAGTGTACAAATTATGGGTTAATTCTTTTGCCTGTTAAATACAGCTGCTTTGTGCTTTCTCCCTTTTCAAATGTCAGTGTTGCTTAAATTATTTTTTTCCAAAACAGTTTGAAATAAAAAAATTGTTCTTTCAGTAACTATTCAAGTTTGTCTGATGTTTTGTTTGCTTGTTCCAATAGAATATGTAAACTTTTGTTTGCAGTTAGGTAATCAAGAAATAAGTAGTGAGTACCCACCATTGCATATGCCAAGGCATGGAAACTTTATCAGCCAGCTACTGTAAACCCACTTTAAATTCTTTCCATGTAGCTTGTCTCTATAAATTTATATTACTACTTTCTGTAATAATTATGCTATTTTACATTATGAAGCACTGATTTTTCTTAGGGTGAAATGTTTTACCAGATAAATGTAAATACCATTTTCATCTGGAAGTCAAAGGATTTTGTTCCTTATTTTCTTTAGGTATTTATTCCAGTTGTTCAGTAAGTCTGGTTCTTAAATCTTACAATTTAATATATATTAGTAAAATCCTAATCTTAGAATTTTAAAATAACTTCTTTGAGCTAGCCATTAATTCTGAAAACATAGTCTCAGCATCCAGGTTACTAAATGATTATATGTATTTGGACTGTTATTTTTTCTCTGAAATCCTATCTTGTCGCCTAGTAATGTAGGTATATATTTTTTTATAGATGGCTATGCACCATTTCTTTCTTTGAGTGCCAGAGAAAGTACTTTTACTGTTGGCTCCCATATTGAAAATGATGTTCCAGGTCCAGGACACTATAATGTTTCAGAAGCACAGGTACATTTATAAAAGTTATTATAATTGTCTTAGTTAATGAAAATCATTTTCTTTCTCTAACAGACCAAAATGTCATCTGTTATTTTTTTATGGTCCCCTTATATGATCTTCTTTCTGTTTTCAATTTGTATTTTTAAATTCAAATGATAGAAAATAAATGTGTTTGATGCTGGTTGCCTGATTGGGTGTTTTTCATTACTGTGTGTGTTCTATGAGCAGCACAAAGGTGTTTCATGCTTCATGACCCATGAGAAGGGGAGAATCATACTCAAGTAATTATGGTGTCTGGAAATTGTGCACATGGTCAGGATGCATAGAAGACAGCTGGCAGTAAAGTGAAGGAATGTTTTTGTGCCCTACTATAAAGCTATAGCTATTGTGGTTGTTTTTATCTGTGTCCTATTTATGCAGTTAAAAGAGTCTGTGACTAGTGTGTCTTCAGTGAGTCCCATTCACTTTCAAAAATAGTGGGTATGACTGCAGTATTTTCATAATCATAAATATACTCTTTTAGATTTTGAAAATTTATTTGAATTAACTGGCTATTAATCAATTGGTAATTTTATGATTCTGGAAAGTTCAGATATGTGGCATAATAAACCATAGATCTTCCTGGTATGTTTTATGTAATGAAAATGTTTAAAACTAATCTGAGCACAAAACCAGGCTTTTTCAACAAAATCTACATGAACTTCCGTGGAATTGAACAGTGTGTTATTTATGGAAATGACTAATCCTACACAACCTTGGAAGATTTGCCTTTTCACTGCAATATGAGTGCCAGCATTTTTAAAGATCATTTCAGCAGTATAAAATTCCCAGTGTCCTGCCAAATATATACTTTTTATTTCTGCTCTATGTCTTTGAAAAGTTTATTTTTTGATTCCTGTTTTAAAACTGTATTTTCTTATATTGTCTTAGAGTACTGTGAGTACGATATATTTTAGCTTAAATTCAAAGTTAAAACTGATAATTGTACCTGTCATCTTTTCATTATTCTGCTTTACCTGAACTGTGTTCCCAAATTAACTTTTTTGGGTTAGGTTTTGAAAGTATTTTTTGATAATTGTTTATAAAATAGGAATTGTAAAGTACCTCTTATTATTATTTCATGCTTTTTCTGTCCAATTCAGTATAATATAAAAGGAGGCCATAGTCTGCAGAACCAAGAGAAGCGTTTTAAGAATTTGATTTCAGATAACCCAGGACCTGCAAGTTATGGACAGTCTTCTCATGGAACACTAGGTATCATGAAGAAAAAAATACTAGAATCTAAAGATTGTCTGCTATCAGTACGTTACTATTTTAAATTATACTTTCAATGATATTTTAGTTAAAATCAAAGAGAGAAGCTTTATATTTATGTGATGTTAATACATTTAAAAAGGTTTTCTGTAAAATTCAGTCATACCTACACTGTTATTTTATAATTAAATGAATGCTCAGTGATGTTTAAAAACTTTAACTATTAACTATATAAGAGTATCTAACTTCATTGCTTATTCTCCCAACCCCAGCACTGGGGATTGAATTCAAGGTGTAGATGCTAGGCACTCCCAGGCTCAAATTTTGCCCTTGAGAAATTCGTAAGTACTTCTAGTGTCTAGAGTGAATAGAAACTAAGGAGGAATTTTTTAAGCCACTGGCTTTCCTATTTGTATTACTCAGTTTATTTATAGAGAAAACTCTGCTTAAATAACTTCTAACAAAAGTGATGTTAAAACCATGATTTGGGGTGTGTGTAACTCAATGGTACAGACCTTATAAGTCTGAGATCTTGGGTTTGACTTCCAGAACTACAAATCAAAACAAAAGAAATTAAAAAACCCAAAACTATAGTTCCTGAAGTAAAAAGCTAAAAATTTAGACAAAACAGAGATGTGTAGCAAGCTTTTAATTTAAAACAATATATGAAAGATGTTATATAAATAACTATATAATTGAATGTCATAGGAATTTAAAAGGGAATGAAGAAATTTGGTTTTGAGATGGGCCTTGAAGAGTGAGACTGAAATACACATTTTAGTTATAGAGTGCCATATGAGTAGAAATGTGGAAGTAGGTTTTCTGGGAAACAAGAAAAGGATTTTTACATTGGAGTAAAGACGATCTGGGAGACTAATGGATAATGTATTTGTAAGAGTATGCTGGTGTTATATAGTCATTTTGCACCAAGCATCTATTGAATTAAATTCTGTTATCTGGTGGATTTGGTCATATTTTATTTAGAGTGTTTTATTATTTTGTCATAACTTCTGTGCATAGCTCTAATTAATTACATTTTAATCAGTTCTCTGTCTAGAATTTAATCTTCTGAGACTAAATAGTCAAATAATGTCACTGCAATGACAATAAGGTTGAATATCAGATATTTCATGTGCAGGGGCAAAGTAAATATTCACTTACTTGTGTAAGGTTTTATGAAATGAAATCTTGGAGCCATAGTAAGATGTTTTTTGTAGCCCCATTGTCTTAGCTACTCTTCTGTCCTTGCTGGGACAAATACCCGACACTCAAAATGAAGGAAGGAAAGGTTTATTTGGCTCACAGTTACTGGAGGTTTCGGTCCATACTCATCTGGCTCCAAGGCAGAGTGGCATATGGCAGAGAATGACCTTTCATGGTGGTGGCAAAGAGCAAGAGCACAAGGGCTGGGTAGCAGCAGCTCAAGCAGCTAGCTTCTCTTCCCACCTTATATTCTAATGCAAATTACTTGCCCCAGGGCAGGTGCAGCATCCACACCCACAGTAATCAATCACAAACTCCAGAAGCCACCCTAAGACTGCATGAGGCTTTGGGGGAACACCTATACACAAACCATAACACCAGTGTAGAAAGTCTTTGAAAGTAATAGGGGAGCCATTGTACTCAATCTTAAAGAAAAATTCATGAAGGAGTTAAAAAAATTCTAGGAAAAGAAAAATCACATGAATAAAGGCATTCAGGTGTGTTTAGTAGAGTTCTGTGTTCAGGGAAGTATGCAGAGGTCTTTGTAATGTCTAGAGCACAAGATTTAATGGAGAGCAGTAGAAATAGAAGATGGAGAAGGAGACATGTGATGCTCTCTGCAAAGTCTTGATATCATGCACATACTTTTTGAAAGTGCTGTACTGAATGGAGGGCAAGCCATCCAGTACTTTCCTGTTTTAATTTGATAATTAGTCTTACAAGTGTTACTGAAACTGCTTAGTAGTTATCTTGAGAGATAAAAAATACAATTTTTCTAGTGGTAGTTTTTAAAATAAGATAATTATATACAAACATATGTACTATAACTATACACTGTATTTATGTATCCAGAAAGTACAGGGATCAATGTATTCCTAGAATATCTATTTTCCAGATAACTAAGTTTTTAAAATGCCAATATTTTTATTTGATATATTTTATATTAATGTTTCTAATATATGTCATTCCTGTTTTTAAATTACAGAATGTTTTATATTAAAGCAATTTTGAATAATATGATAATAAATTCCAAACTTTTGACTCTAACATTAGTATTTTGTTATTTTGGCAGAGTTTCTTTGCATATTGAATCATGTATTTATATGACTTTATTTATAACTTGTATAGCTATGTTCATAATTCAAAATAGAATTATATTGAATAATTTAATAATTTCATTTAGCATTCTATCATAGACATTCTCCTCTTATAGAATTTATATCATTAGTATATTTATACAAGGGGCTGGAGAGCTGGCTCAGTGGAATAAGTGCTTCCATGGCAAGCGCAAGGGCCTGAGTTCAATCCCTGGTTCCCCAAAAAAAAAAAAAAAAAAAAAAAAAAAAAAGAATTTATACAAATACAGGTAATGAGATAAGTCAGGATTTGTAAGGAATGGATCCAGGAAATGTTACTGAAAGTGTTGTTCTCGTATGGCAGGTTGCATTAGTGATTTGAGTATGTGAATGCCATTTTTAGAATCAGTATTATTGAGATTTATTCAGTGAGAGAAAATACTGGCTTCTTATGATGGCTTTATTAGTTTTATTAGCTTATAAGATGAATTGTAAATTTAATTCAGCTCTTTAAGATATTTTGTATTTTCACAAAATAAATGTTTTTGGTTTATATTATGAAATTTAGTCGATATTTTTTGTCCTTTAGTACATTTTAATATATGATTCTTTATTTCCCTTTCTTTTGCTTTTGAATAAATAATATAAAACAAAAACTTCTATTTGAAGAAAATTTCAAAAGCACCTACAGCTACTAGAAATGTAGATGTTCCTTCAATTCCTTCTTGTGGACAGTCATATGGTTATCATATTAATGAAGATGGGAGAATTACAAAATGCTTTCCACCTGCAAGTGATAGCACCTTAGGACCAGCATACTACAAACCTCAGTTCGTAAGTATACTTCACTTTATAGTTATAGTTGTTTGTGATGTTATGTTTTAATTCATGTAACACTAACCTCACTAATAGATTCTCAAATTTCATTGGCTTCTTATGGTAAGATTTCTTTTTCTTGTGTTTATGTGTATGTGTGTCCATCTGACAAAGAGGGGATGGAGGATTATGAGTGAGAGATTTTTGTAGGTCAGGCCTAGCAGATAAAATTGTAACATGACCATACTTAATTATGAAGGAGTCTGAGAAATACAGTCTAGCTGTATATTTAGGAGTTGGAATACAACTATAAAAGTCAGAAAATTCCATTTGTACAATATCATTATCAAACCTATGCATCTCTTAAAATATTGCTAATTGTTTCTTTTGTATCTGTTATCAAAATGATTTTTGCTGAGACCAGTTTGGTGTTACATGTTGCATTTAATTGTCATGTCTCTTCAGATTTCTTTAATTTGGAGAACAGTTCTTCAGTCTTTCTTTTCCTTTTTAAAAACTTTTTTAAAAAGTGTTATTTTGTGGATTATGCCTCAATTGTGGATTTGTATATGTCTTGTAAATAGATTGAGGTTATTTATTTTGGCGGGACTGCTACAGAAGTGATGGATTCTCAATGCATAATATGAAGAAGAATAAAATGTGCATTTATCCCATAATTGATGATGTTAACTAAAGGCATTTTCCTTTTTTCCTATAAAGTTATTTCCTTCTCTTTTTTTATGTATTTGGTACAGGGTCTCAGTATGCAGCTTGGACTTGTAGTGATCCTCCCATGTTCAGGCTTCCCAGCATTGGGATTACAGGCATGTGCCACCAGGCCTGGTTTCAGTGGCTGGCTCAGTGCCCCTGGGGCCAAGTCTGGTGCATTATTCCCTTCATAATTTCTAAAATTTTGCAGAGCCACTGTAAGACTAAGTGGGTAATTTATTGTCAAACTTTTGCCTACTAGTTTTAGCATACACTGATGATGCCTGAATCAGTGTTAGTATGCTGTTTATTGAATGCTGAATTTCTAACTTTATTTTTTAAAATCTTCTATTTGTTGGCATTTTAGTATAAAGAAAAACTTTATTTTCTCTTCCATCTATGTACTATATTTGTATGAATTTTTTTTTTTTTTAATTTTAGGGAAGGGTCTACAGGGTGTTCAGGGTCTCACTACTAGATCCTACTTGTAGTGATCTGCCTGTTTACAGTCCCCCAAGAGCTGGGATTACAGGTACACGCCACCATGCCCAGTCTCAATTGCTATCTTAGCATGTCCCAAGGGCTGGCCGGCATGGCAGGCCCAGAGAATGAACTCCTGGCACTTTAAGCCACTGAGCTATTTGGCGGGCCCTCTTGGAACAGTTCTTACAACCTCAAAGTGTTGTAATTTGTCATTTATGTTGACTCTTAAATCATCCCAGATTTGATTCTTAGGAGCTACTTCAAGCTTCTTCTTGTGTCCCTTTGATATACTTCTATCATTTTTGAGCATTTCTTTACCTTCTGGCAAAATAAGAATTTTCAAGTTCATCTTGGTTGCTTTCTTTTCCCTTCCTGAGGGATAGAATGTGCTATTTGTTTAAGGAGTCCTACTTCCATTTGGTAGGAAAAAATATTTCAAAAAAATTTACATAATATATATATGTATTATATATATTATGTAATTGGTACTTGATTATTATATATATGCATTGGTACTTGATACTAGTTTTTAGGTCATCTCAGTGTACAGAGTTAGAAGTCTATATTTACTTGTTGTCTATTAAAAACAGTAGGTTTATAACTATGCCTCCAGTTTCCATCTCACTCTACAGATTTATTCTGGTCTTTCCATATTTAAACTGCTTTCTTTTAGAGTGAGAAATCTGCCTCCTATTATTTTCAGTATATTTTCTTATCCTATAATATTTTTAAAGTAGTTGCATAATTTATAACCCAGAACTGCAAAAAAAATAGACTTGAGCCTATATAATAAGCTCTTACTTCTAGAAGATCTCAGATTTGTATAAACAGATTGCATACTGAAGGTTGCAGCAAACCTGTGAACTGCCTCCCTGTGTGTTGAAGGAGTGCCCAACACATGTACAGACACCTTCCCGAGGCTGGACTGATAGACTCAAGGAATTTAAGGAAACCTCTTTCGAATTATTATATGACAACTCAGCAAACAGGCTAAGACCCACATGTCAAAAAATACAGAATTTAGAGAAATAGTATAGGAAAATCACTAAATAATAAAAATTTCAGAGTTGTTATATTGTATCAAAATGGCGAATTTCAACAGAAAGTTATGAGACGTGTAAAGGGTTAAAAAGAAGCATGACCCATGATTCAACAAACAGTGGCAAGTATTCTGGATATTTGATTAATATGTGCCTGGTAGAACAACAGTGTTATTTGTTTTCTTTTCCTTAAGGAGAATTTTGTTTTTGTCACTGCTGGGAATTGAACTTTTGGCTGCTCTACCACGGAGATAATTTTCATAAAAATTATAGTCACTTTGGTAGAAATCCTATAATCTGATATCAGGATATTCTCTACAAGGTGAAGGACAAGTTGTAAGAGGTAGTGTAATGGAACCAGGCTGGCTGGACTTGTTTCCTCATTTTATCACTTAATCATTCTTTTTTTTTTTATTTTCAAAATTCTTAATGATTTTATACTTAGTTGCCTTATTGGAAATATCCTGGGGAAAGACTTTCATTTGATATACTGGAATTAGGTAGCCTTAGATAATTCTCTGATTACTTTTAACTTAAATCCCAAATGTAATTCTTGCTGTAGAACTAACTATATTTTTATATAAATTGTAAATTATTATTATTATTATTATTATTATTATTATTTTTTTTTGCTTTGGAATAATGTACCATCTGTTAAAGGGTCAAAATAATGCCTCCAAGCTTCCTTAGCTATATAAAATCTTTTTCCCATATAAATAAGCATTTGTTTGACATAGAAAGTTGATTTCTTTCTGCATAAATTATTCACAGAAGAGAGAAAAAAATTTATTTTGCAATATTAATACAGTATATATAATTTATTTGATGATATATTTTAGTTAACTATCGAGTCATCAAACTTACAGTTACTAGAATAAAACTCCCAATCTAATTTAAGGAAACATATTGTATGTGAACATTCATTTACCTTTAACAGCATAGTTCTTTTTTAAATTAATTTTAGTGAGAAAAAAATAGCAATGAGAGTTTCAAAACAGGTTAGTAGGACAGTTACAATAATTAATACATTGCATATTGTTTTCTTCATAGTAGTTATTCAGAGTACAAGATGCAGACATGATATCTTGTCTAAACACTATTAGTACAAATCTTCTCATTGAACTAAGAGAAAGTAGCTGTATATCTATCCTATTTTGTAGCAGCATAGTTCTCAATATTGAGGATTTACTAAAGTTCATTGGAAATTGAATTGTGATAGTTTTATATGTAAACATTTATTTACCTTTAATGGCATAGTTCTGATTATTGAAGATTTGCTAAAGTTCATATGGAATTGAATTGTGATAGTTTTTGAACTGCCTTTGTTTTGAATTTGAGAAAACTAAAGTTAAGTGCCAAAGCCTAGTAGTACAAAAACAGATTATTCACAAATTACTGTTAGTGATACTGTCTTGATGTTAAATAAATCTTATCTATATTTATGATAATGCTGTGTAGATTTCTTTTGGATTTTTGAGACAGGGTCTCAGTATGTAGTGCAGGCTAGCCTTGAGTTTACTGTGAAGCCCAGGATGGCCTCAAACTCACTTTGTAGCCCAGCCTGGCCTCAAACTTGCAGCAATCCTGCCTCAGCCTCCTGAGTGCTGAGATTATAGGTGTGCATGACCATTCCCAGCTTCCATGGCTGTTACAGAGTTTTAACTGATTTTTGTGACATTATCATATTGTATTTTCACTCAGTTTCCAGATGAGAATATTAATAGCAAATTTGGAAACATAACCTAATGAATGGGTAATTGGTGTAGTTCTTTCTAACTCTGAGTTACATCTACTGAAAGTACCTGATAAAGCTTAAATATTTATTGAAGAGTTATATAGGACTACATACAATAAATGACTAGCCAATAAATGATAAATTTTATAGGACTAGCCAATAAATGATAAACCAGGTAAATTTACCTCATAAAGAGAAATTGTCTTATATAAGTAATTTAACATTTTGAATAATAAAATTTAGCATCTCTCCCTTTTTTTAGGAGAGCCCAGGTAACTATTAGAAATATATTTTTCAGAGGTGGATTTCACAAGGAAGGTTTGCAATTGCAATTATGATACTACCATCTTTGGTAGTGATAATGTGCTGGGAGTGAATTGTGTGCTGCCATGCTGGGAAGCAATCCATTGCCATTTAAGTTGATGTATTTTTTGACTTTTAATTCTATAGAAATTCTATTTTCATATTAATTATGAAAGGATATTAAGGAAAAGTCGTAGTGACCCTTCTTCATTCATTGAATTGTCACTGAGAGTGTCAGATAATCAATTTTTATGATAGCATTCACTTAAAACTATGCAGCTTCACACTGTTTGCTTAAATTAAGCCATATTTTATTCCTTAATGACTTTTCTCAGTTGACAGCGACCTTGAAGTTGGTATTGTCAACACTTCTTGCCAGAAAAGAAAGTGATTTAGAATTAAAAGTGTATCATCATTTCCTCATTTTCTGTCTATATTTTTAAAAATTTCAGGTTGAACATTTGGTTGAGTACTATAAATGTTAATGAGTTAAGTTTACATGATTTAATTTAATACATTTCTTTGTATAGTAGAAAAGCCTGTTTGCTAATGTCTGAAATTTTTGGTATGTGTTATGTGCTCGTGTATGGATAAATAATCTTTCCTTTTACTGGATTACATTTAGAACTATTAAATAATTGAACCATGAAAATCTTAGTAATGTGAATTTACCTGAAGAAAGATTCCTTGATACAGTTATCTCAAAGTCCTGAGCTGTATTACATTAATTATTGTGAAAATTCATGAGG